AATTAAAGTAGGACCCTTTTCACTCCCCGAACTGTCTTTGACAGCCCAGACATCTGCATGGCGGATAAACAGAAGAATAACCCATGTTGTTGTCTAATACGTAGTTTGAATCCTTCCTACCCCTTAATTATGCCTTTTTGTACCTTGTTCACAAACTGTTATCCTTTCAGACCAATTATATTGTCGTCGTTGTAATTCTTAATGGAAACTTATGGCAAACATGGCTCCCTAAGCGATTAGATAGAAGTTAACTATAGTGTTTTGGTGACTTTCTTGCCTTGATCGGGATTTTTGACAATTCTAGACTGTACGTAGGTCGAAAAGTGTATTCCAATCAAAGTAACGCTGGTTCACTGGCCAGTATTGAACATATGCACATTTAAGACAAATAAATTGTCTTGAATGTAGTCCCCGGTGACAACAAGCTTTTCGCCTCCTAATATCCCAAAAACTTCGTGTAAAATGGCTCAAGGACGAAGTTTTGTCGGAATAAAGTAGAAGTGAAACGAAACGAAAGGACCTAATGTACACCGCCAGTGTGAATCACCTACGACTGTGCTAATGTTAATCGGCGTCCTCTCACTTCGTTGTCAATGCTTTCGGATGGCCATTTCCCAAACTACGTCTAGGTCAAACATGTTGCTAACCACCGTCTAGAGAAGTACTTGTATTAAATGGTTGCTTGCCAGTCGCATGCTGGTATAGACCAGGACAGTAAGGGTTAAAGCAGTTATTCCAGGCTCCCTGGTCCCCCTCTGTAAGGCATCTCTATCTTTGTTCGCGTGCCTCCATGTGACCGCCTGCCGGCCCTCTAGGTTAGAGCTGCAAAACAACATGGAATACCCCCGTTGCTTCCACTACTTACCATACCAGTTACCACCACCTCCATGGGACTTGCTTAATGCCGACTGCAGCTGAGAGGGTGTGAGGTCCTGGCCCAATTAGCGGAACACTCAACCTGGATTATAAGGTGTGTCAGAGACCAGAACTATGATCATATCAACCTGGGATCAAGGTTTAACTGGCTAACTGTGGGTCGAGTCTCCCTTGTTTTTTATCGGTAACACAAACATTTGGAGAATTGTATCTGTCACACCTATGCTACCAGAGCGTCACGGGCTATGTCTTAGTGAGCCTGCCCATAAGCTTATTGCAGGATCTTATTTCAGCAGTCTAACGCTGGTTTTCTCTACCACTCTTCCAGACACTCGGGTTCGCCCCTCCTATAATCTATACCGGTATCATCTTACCGTCTTTTTTTTCCGTAATTCAGACTGCGACTGCGTTAAAAAGTTAGGCTGTAGTACAAGGCCATTAGTCGTATCACACAATATCCAGTCGGCCCAGTCAGAAAAACTGGAAAAATCGGTTTAACTTTGGTTTGTTTTAGTGGCAGTAATGCTGGCTGTATTCCAAGTCTCCACGTTGGATTCAACTTTATACTTTTAGGTAAATTTAAACCGTACTTGCAGTGAAGTCTGCCGGCGTCTTCTAGACCACCGGTCTGAATGCAGGCCTAGGCGTAGTAAAGCTGTGTATCCCTCAGCAAAACGTTCTTATTCATTCTTTTACCAACCGTTAATTCACTGACCTCCTACTTTCACTTTCCCGCCGCCCCCCTTCCCTAGCTCCAAAAGTACGAGCAGTTTGTTGCCTTCTCGACGCCTTTACATGTTCAAGGACCCTGCTCAACACCAATGCCAGTCGTAGTATGCGCCTCTTTACAATCGAGCTAACGCCATCCTCCGCTCCATCTTCACCCTCTGCTCCATCGTCCATCTTGTTGCGGCCGACAAGGCTGCAAGTGGACCTCTTCCTGCTTGACAAATTCCGAGTCACCCGACGTCCCGAAGGTGAACCCACCTTCCATATCTTCTACTACTTCCTGGCGGGTCTACAGGAAGATCTGAGGTTTGTTTATTTACGTTTTTTTCAAGATCGTCTTGTCCGTCACGTGCACATTAAATGTTACCGAGTTAGACTTCCTGGTAAAATCTTTTGCTTCTC